CAATTATCGCTGAAACAACATCATTTGTAATTTCTCGTTTGGCGAAAAAGTATGGGCTCTAATATATATTTGGCAGAGTAAAGAAATACTGTGAAAGATTGATAGCTCAACGGAAAATTGTGTACGAAATTATGCGACTAAAACTTGTGAACTTGGCGACTTAACAGATGCATCTTTTCAAAAACACTGAAGATAAAAATTGTAGAAGCGGTCACCGGTACAACGATATGTTGCTACTAGGTTTAGATTGACAACTGTTAAACACAACAGTTGAACAATTGCAAAATAGCATGACAATAAATTTAAAAGGAATAACAAATTTAGCATATTTTAGCTTCTGTGAATCCTGCTTATTTGAGATACCTAAACCATAACACCAGTACATTCTCTCAAACTCGTGACTATTTTATTTTCTCTCAAAGAAAAAGAAACAACACAAGCACAACACCAAAATCATTTTCAGCCATGTTGTTTTCATAATGAGGGCGCTGCTCTGTTCGGCTTTGATTGAACTGAATAAAACTCTGGCAAATCTCGGCTCTCATTTGGCTCGGCCGTGTAAACTCATTGGAGATAATTTCCTGTTAATCGGTGGGAAGAGCAGTAGTTAGGCTCAGATAGAATGCTGTTGTGTAAACGTAGCAATTGTAACATTCCAGCACAACCACTGCTTTGACGTTGACCTTTTCATGTACCTGTCAACCTTTATTTGTAGATGGGGTTATGGTATCTGTTGTTTAATAATTCAGCTTCCCTTCACTCGTATTGGTCATGCCAAATTATTCAAATGACTTGTGCAATGTGAAAATAAAATTCCTATAAAAAATTATTCTAAGGCTTCTATCTGATGAATAATACAAGCAGAGTAATGCTCAAATAATGTATTTGGATGACAAAGTTGTGTGTACATGTCTAAATTTTTGTGCCACCACCATGGGGTCTATGTATTGAAGCTGTATTTTTGTCTTATTCTTGTACATGTGTGGTAATTGCAAATTAGCACACTCCTCATATAGTATATGCATTGTCAACTGTTGATTACAACAAATGTATTGTAATTATTGATCAATATGTATGGTAAGTCATTTTTGGAGAAAAAACAAGGG